AGCAACGTTTAAACGACTATAGCACCAGTTAAGTGAGACAGCCGGATTGCTGTGTTTCATGGGTAATACTAACCTCAGTACCACATGGTCACTCTTGTCCAGTGGATTCTCCACTGCTACCTCACTTATGTCCGATAAATACCGCGTTATAACTAAGTCCAGGATGGAGGCCCTCTGTTGGTTGCGAAACCCTGTGGCCTGTATGATATGCCGAATGAGCGCATGATCATGTAGCCATGTTAGAAAGCTCTCTCCCTTTATCCCAACGGGAGCCTCTCCTTCTACCCAACAGATCTCCGGAAGATTGAAATCTCCCAGAATTAAGATCCTTTGGGTCCTTAATATGAATTCCTGCATTGTATTAAGTAGTTCCATATCTCCCACGGGTTTCGCCTGGGGTGCACGATAGACTAGTAGCACTCCTAACGGTCGTCTTCCCCAGAGGATACTACACGCCTTGGCTTGGATATCAGGTGTTGCCAGTTTTACTGGTGAGTCCCATTGATTGTAAGCGGCTTTGAACAGCAGAGTACTTCTCCGCCTTGTCTGCCGTCCACTCTATCTTGCCTATATGCCCAGTAGTCTCTGGGCTTCTCTATATCTTGCTCATGCCGCATCCAAGTTTCAGTGTTAGCTATCATCACCGAGTTTTGGGTGCGCGTTGCCATGTCTCCCCATTTTCCCCATAACACTGCAGGCGTTAGTGTACCACTGTGACGGTGTCCACCTCCACATTCATACAACTCTTCCCTATTGCTTGGGATGTATCCTTGGACGTAAGGCCTGAGGAGCTATTACGTTTTTTGATATTATGTCTGCGGGTACCGGGCGATGAGGCTCCGTGAACGACCAGGCTATACTCCCACAGACATTGTGATGTCTTTGAGTGTTAACCCAAATTCCTCACCGAGTCTTTCCGTGGGCGCTCGCTGCCTTCTAGGCATGGATAATGTCCTAATCAAGGGGGCAGTGTCCTGAATGTCCCTTGCTACCACTGTGGCCCAACTAACGGACGCTGATTTCGCCTTGGCATCAGCGACCGTGGACTCACCCATCTTTTTAACTCCCTCAGTCTTGGATGGCTCCGAGGGAGTGATATTTAGTGGGCCGTCTACTCTTCTGTTATCTGTTTTCCTCCTGGGGACTCCAGCTGGGGACTGCCTCGGCTTTTCCCCTCCTGTAGTCGCTTTTTGGCCCATCTGGCTTCGGTTTTTGGGTGTGGACTTGCTCAACGGTGACCCGGCTGATAGACTTTGATGGACCTTCCTGCGTTGGCATGTCTCGCCCACTCCCACTCCATGCGCCATTGGTGCGTTTAGTTTGCTCAGGATAACTCTGGGCTTCCTTTGTTGCATTATTTGTTACAGGAGCAGTGGGGATGACGCCCCGCTGGGCGTGATGAACAGTATCAGGGGTGGCTTGGATGCATCCCCTGGTGTTCATCTCCACTGCAACAGTCCTAGAGAGCAGAAGGTCCCGGCTGTATGTGCTGCAAAATGCTACTAGTATAGGCCTGGGTCTGGTTGTCTGGTTCTGCCTCCACAGCCCAACCCTGTGGCACTCAACTTAGGGCGTATTGGCGTATTGAACGTGTTTGCGATCCGCCTCTCGTCGCGCCTTAGTATCGCGAATCAATGGCTCCGCAAAGTTATGCAGTAAGACGTTTCTTGTTCGACCCAGTAGCAATTGTGTGCTGCGTTGCAGTTCTTGGAGATCTTCCTCCAAAAGTTCTACAGGTGCAGTCACCTCTATCGACGCCAACGGTTTAACGGTAGACCCTTTGAGTGGTTTCTTTCCCGTTGTGCTCGTGATTTTCTCCTTTCCATTGCTTTCCTTCATAGTATGTTTAAAGCCAGGCTTCACCGCCTCTACCTTCTTTGCTGCTGGTCTCAGCTTGCGGGTATTGGAGGTTAGTAGTGAACTGGTGGTCACATCCCCTACCAAGGCACCTTTCAGAATGCGTGAACATTCCTCTATCAGAGCCTCGCAGTGTGCGCATATCCAATTCAATTCTCCATGCTGAAGGTGCAACGCAAAGCACTGCTTCGACATCTTGGAGCATTTTTCATGCTACCACGAGCCGCATTTATTAAATTGGATACGATTACTAACGGCTCTACCGCAACCCCTGGCTCTACACGTATCAGAGTGCTGTACTATGGTTGCTTTACTAGCCATGAATACAGATCACGTTTCGTACGGAAAAAACAATATATAGGAAAGCACTTCAAGTTGCGAAAATCCCTGGATAAAAATACTCAACCAAAAATGACTCAAGCCCGCGGTAAAACGGG